CTTTACTCTCCACCGACAATGATGCAAACAAACCGAACAATTGAGCTTCGTCCGCTAAAAGTCTCTTCAACTCTTTAGTGGATAGGAAACTCTCATCTTCATCATCTTTCAAAGAAGGAAACCTCACTAACTTATGATAGCAATCTATATGAACTCTATTAAATTGTAACCAGTTCATACCCAAGATTACGTCTAATCTCTCCAACGGCAAACACACTAAATCTATGATGAAGTCTTTACCATACATGGTCAAAGGACAACTTACACACACCAAAGATGTAGTTACCGACCCCGAAGCGGGAGTCTCATTAACCATGTCACCACCCAAGAAGTCACAAACAAATTCAAATGCTTAGCGCACTCACGAGAATTAAACGAATGAGTCGCTCCAGTATCAATAATAGCAACTAAAGGCGTACTATTAATAAATCATGTACCTTTAATCAAACGATTTGCACTAGTAGTGTCTGACCCAGCTAATGCAAACACTTTTCCGCCCGCTTGAGCTTATTTCGGCTTAGTACACTTAGTACTAATGTGACCCACTTCTCCACAATTATAGCACTTCACTACATTCCTCCTACAATCTATAGTAGCATGCCCAAGGCCTTCACAGTTAGAACATTTCACTACGGTCTTTCCACACTCAAATGATTTATGACCCATTTCACCACATTTGTAACACTTAACGGAACCTCCTCCTCCTCCTCCAGATCTCTTATCAAAGTTTCCTCTATGCTTGCCCTTATCAACAGGTGTCACATAAGGTCCACTTCTAGCTTGTTGCTTTCCTTTCCTCTCATTCAAAATTTTGTAATGTGTAGAACGAGCCTTGCTATCTTCCTCGAAGATTCTACAACATTCCGTCAAATCCGTAAACCTTCTTATCCTTTGATATCCCACAACTTACTTAATCTCGGGACGCAAATTCATTCTCATATTTAATACACTTTGAGAACTCAGCAGTAATTGCAACATAGTGAGGATGAAATTGAACTAACTCCACAAACTTAGCAGTATAGTCCACCACGGACATACTACCTTGTTTCAGTTCAAGGAACTTCATCTCCTTCTTCCCTTTCACACTTTCAGGGTAATACTTCCTCAAGAACTCAGTACAAAATAAATCCCAAGTTATCTCTTCATCATCCACCTCAAGAACTTGACGCATACCGACCCACCAATCGTTGGCTTCTTCCTTCAGCATGTGAGACACAAGTCTCACCTTATTCCTCTCCGTACAATCCATAACTCTGAAGATCCTTTCAATCTCTTTCAACCAAATTTGAGCACCATCGGGATCAAATCTTCCTTTGAAGACCGGTGGTTGATTCTTCCTGAACTCGTCATTAGCATTCACGTTCAGTGCACCTTGCACCGCCCTAGCCATTGCTTCCAAAGCAACAACCATCGCATTGTCGTTACGACCAGCCATATTCTGACCATTCCCAAAAATAACAACAAGGTTAAACAACCGTTTAACCAACATAACAACAAGACAGACACAACTGACTCAACACTGGCTCTGATACCACTTAATGTAACACCCCCTTTCTATACCCCCAAAGAATCACATAATCATTTAATCACATATTAAAAATTTCATCAGAGTATAATCATAAACACAATATAAAAGGGGCGCATCACATTACGCTTGAAATTAAAACATACATCACCTGCTCAACAAAAGATACGCAACAGTGGGGTAACTATGCAACAGAGGAACTTAGTCCTTACACTCACATCTCAATATTTAGAATAAAAGCGGAAAATCTAAACATTGAACAACATCAAACATATATATATATATATATATATATATATATATATATATATATATATATATATATATATATATATATATATATATATATATATATATATATATATATATATATATATATATATATATATATATATATATATATATATATATATAATATCCAGTATGATTCAACAACAAAGTCATGTTTACATAAACACCCAACAACAAGATACATATACAAATGTATCACAAAAGAATCATGAACATCCTAGCTACTCGGTGCTACATATCAGAGCCGACCGACCAAAAGAATGAAGACACGCTTCACAAAAAGACCTCCAGCAAACCTACTTCGTAATGCCTCATAGAGCATCATAAAACAGCAGAAAGGTGAGAAATATTATCATAATAACAATGCATATATATATATATATATATATATATATATATATATATATATATATATATATATATATATATATATATATATATATATATATATATATATATATATATATATATATATATATATATATATATATATATATATATAGCATAAAATACACATAATTCATCACAACTCACTCATATACATCACAATATATATATATATATATATATATATATATATATATATATATATATATATATATATATATATATATATATATATATATATATATATATATATATATATATATATATATATATATATATATATATATATATATATATATATATATATATATATATATATATATATATATATATATATATATATATATATATATATACACACACACACACACACACACACACACACACACACATAAATTCAAGCATATTCATCATGCATACTTTCACAACTCTCATCATTTCACATAAACATACACATTTATGTTTATTCACCAATGCACAATTATAAAGATGATAAATGCAAATTATAGAGACCGACTCATGAATCTATGCAAATGCAATGCGGTACCGACTCAATCATCACAAGTTCACTCAGGAACTTATTGGAACCATCGCTCACACCTCACATAGGCACACGATGTTCACCCATTGCTCACACCTCACAAAGGCACACAATGTTTATGGATTTCTCACACCTCATATAGGCACACAATCCGATTGCTCACACCTCACATAGGCACACAATCATTTGTAACCATCGCTCACACCTCACACAGGCACACGATGTTACAATAGATTCTCATTAGAATCCCACAACACAAGAATGCACATCATTATGCTTCACATGCAAAATGACTCAAGACACTCTTGAAATGCATACATATTCACAATATATTTTCATGCATTCATCTCATTCTATCACATACAATCCATATACATTCACACTCAATTATGTCAAACGGTAATGAACTCTATCATAATCATCATGCATTTATATTTAATTTAAGCAATGCAATCATTTGCCAAAAGGCCATAATTCACAAAAAAATTCCACAATCTAGGATTCACGCCATACGGCTACCCACAACATAACATATAACAACACACAAGCTACACATTCGGAATAAGATTGATCAACATCCGAGTCGAAGAATCGATGTTGGATGGAATAAAAAGAAAATGTTGTGCTGTCATGCTCGCTAGCATGCTCGCTAGGCGAGCAGAATGACGAGTCCTTCGCTTCTCCACTCGCTCCAGCGAGTTTTGGTATTTTTGGTTTTGTCCATGTCTGGGAGTGTTCGCCGGTAGCTCGCTGCGTGCTCGCTTAGCGAACACTTCGCTACCTCACTCGCCAGTGATTCGCCTAGCGAACACGTCGCTACTCAAACCCTAAATCACCCAAAAACATCAAAAGTCACAAAATCACCCGAATTCAATCAAACAAGTTTCAATAGTCTCGGTCTAACATTCCTCGACTAAACTACACAATTTATTTCGAATTCTAATCGTAAAAACATTGGTTTCTATCGATTTTACCAATTTCGACCTAAAATGGAAAATGTGGAAAAACAACCAAAACAATCCAACAAACACATACATAATGATATACATTGATAAGATAATAAGATTTCACACCCTTACCCAAAACAACCAAAACAATCCAACAAACACATACATAATGATATACATTCATAACTCTTGTGCTACACTTGTTACTAATATTTTATCTGAACCACTTTCAGGCTTGGATTATATCTCACTTTCCTCGTATATCCGAATGGGAACCTGAGACTGACTACACCAAGGATTACCCACGTGTTTGCGCCTTTGCACCATACAGAGGGAATCCGACAATCGGGCCCTTTCGAGTGTATCTTGACATTCATGTGGCAGATGCATTGTCTTCTTCCATACGAAGGTCACCGCCAGACGCGTCAGCTGGACGTCATTTCGTTATACTCTAAATATGGCGAGATCAGGCATAAAGATTATACTTTTTAAAGAAGGTAGTTCACAATTGACCCTCGTATAAGACATTATGGCCGAGACATAGAATGCTTTGCAGTAGAGGCGGAGGAGAAACTGGGGGTTAGACGTACCCAATATTTTATGTTTGTTTGTATAATTTTTCATATTTTCAGAACAAATCATGTATGGTCATATTTTTCGTATTTTTGTATTTTTCATAACAACTTATAATTATGTTTTTAATGGGTGTATAATATGTTTGAATCAATTTATGACATTCTTAAATGACCAAAAAATGGTCTAAAATGACCTAAAATATAAGTTGGCCTAAAAAATATCAAAGTTAGGACAATGTTAATGCTTAGAATGCAATTATAGGATTTCTGGAGATGCATCTCGAAAATATTTTCTATTATGTATAATAAACTCGCTTTCAATAACTTAAAATAAATTCAGGAGATTTTAGGATATGCATTTCTGGAGTCACCCCTAAAAATATACAGAGATGTATCTCCGACCATATTTTACCAAAAATAAAGTGATTGACTAAAATACATAAATTGATGTGATTTTAGGTGTTTTCAAAAATATACCTTCAAATATTAATATGAACCTTTTTAAATATTCAAGAGACATGGAATACACCCATGAAGTGGATTGAATATTTCCCTATCTATTTTATGTATTAAAAAAAACTAAACCATTTGTGAACTCTATATGTATTAAAATTTATCAAAATTTAGGATTTTACTTATTTTTTTAATTTATTAACCAGTGTTTTGGATATAAGTTATCGTTATTATTAAAAAAACAAAAAATTAAAAACACGGAAAGACCGCTTCCTTGTTCAATGGCTTCTTCTTCGAATGGTTGCCGCTCTCATCATCACCACAATCACCACTGCCCTCACTGCCCCCTCCGCCGTCACTGCCACCACTGCCCCCTCCACAACAACAACCCTTCTCACTCCTCCTCCCACAATTTCACTTCTCCTCCTCCTCTTCAAACTCAAAACCTCCCTCCTCTTGCTCAGTAAGTTCCTTTCATTCTTCTCTCTTCTCTCTCTTCCTTTTTTATTATCACAACACAGTGAAAGTGATTAAGTTGAAGATCTATTCAAAACTGAAGATGATACAAGCATTGCAGAGTTGTAGAGAATTGAAATTTGTTAACTTTTTTAAGTTTGGTTAAAAAAATTATGTAGGTAGTTTAATCTAGGTTAGAGATGAAAACAACTAATTTGAAACTTTGTACCCTAGCTATTTGTTCAAATTCCACTGTTGTAGCTGCTATTTCACAACTTTGTCCAGAAATTTTGTTAGATGGTGATTTCCACCATAAATTAAGGGAATTAGAATGGAGTGATGAAAGTAGTTTTTTTCTTGTTATTATGAAGCACGGACGAACACGGCACTGACACATCTATACTAGTAATAATTTGAAAAATGAATAAATCAAGCGTAATCACAAATGTTAGTGTTATTTTGGACACTGATTCTGATGTTGACACAACTTTTTTCGGAGGTGTCGGTGTTATAGAGGTTATTATAATTTGAAATTGTGAAATGGATTGAATCATAGGTTTCATAAAGGCTAATTTGTTTATCCTATATGAAAGTAATCTATGTTCTTATGCTTTTGGATAGCATCAGAATTTCACAAGAGAAGGAGCATATTGTGTTTGATGGTGTTGAAGAGGATGATGAACCGGTTTTTGTTATGACCGACGAATGGAGAGAGTTCTTTGCGAAATCTGAAGCTAGGAGGAAACTAGGTAACTCTTTTCATACATACAGCCATGTGATGCAGTTTATGTGTGCTTTATTGTATTTTTGATTCTCAACTGAACCTTCTGTTGAAAACTTGAGCATGTCATCTAGTGTTAGATTATGAGCCTGTTTGGATTGTGTTACTTGAGCTTATTTATAAGCAAAAGCACTATTGAAATTTTTTTGAAAAGGCTTATAGGAATAGTTTATGAAGTGTTCAGAAGCTGTTTTCAGTTTATTTACATAAACTCTTTTGAATAGCATATGGAAATAATTTGAGCTTATATTTTCTTTGTTATGGTCGTTATTGAAATAGCTTATGCATAAACTCTGATAAACACTTATGCAATAAGCATTTAACCAAGTTGTTTATTAAAAACAAGCCATATTTAGATTCATCCAGATAAGAAGATTAGGAACAAGTCAATTATCAATTACCTAACTTCGTTTTAATGTTCCTTTTTGTACATATCATGCAGAGAAGAAGCAGGTCAAGAAGGGGAAAAAGTAAAAACAGAACGAAATGTTTGTTAACAAAAAATTTACGGATGATCAAGAGATTGTTCGAGGGTTGTTGACAATGATCCTGCTTTCAAAAATGTTATGTCTTCCTAGCCCAATGTGGTTTGCAATGTATGAAAACAAGGAGTCTTGTCTACACTTTCTGAAAGGATGATGAATTACTTACTAATGTCTCTGTAATTATGTAAGCTCATCTTTTGTTTATAGATCTTAGTATTGTTTTATAAATACTTTTCATATTATGATCTTTTAATGTTCCTATCCATATACATTAGCGGAACGATAATGTATTTTGACAAATGTGAGTACACAGGGAGGAGGGTTGAGAATTTTCCAACAAAATATCTGAACCATGTATTTCTCTTTTAGATAGACATGTTGAACAAAAACATCAAATAACTCATACATAATTCATAGCTTAACATCTTGTGAATCTAATTTAACCATCATTTTCATTAAATCATAATTCATAGCTTAAGCTCAAAGCCATTTGAAAGGCCCAAAGTTCTAAGTTCTATACAAACTAAACATAATGGTTGTGTACAAAGAATGTGAACAAACTGTTAAGACTTTTCATTTAGTAGCAATTATGTTTCTAAGTGTCTGTTTAGGGACAATTATATTTTATTAATTTTCTGTACACGTTTAGAATAGGAAAAGATGGAGGAAAGTTGAATGGTTATCGGGAGAGACTCAAACTAGTCACTCAAATTCTTGGAATGAACCAAATTGGTTCCTATCATTCGGTTTGTGTGTTATTTCTCTGCACAATTCGATTTCTATGGGGGGATGCAGCCAACATAGCAACAGAAGCAAGCTATGACCACTATTCCTTGAAGGCAAAATACTTCAATATCACAAGATATCCCAGTGGAATTTCATCAGTATATAACCATATATAATAGAACAATAATACAAATTAAACACAACCCAATAAATCTATAGTTTCAGCAATATATCCACTGATCATCATGGATTAGTAGGAGAATTAGGGATACATAAATAACAAGCCCAAGGATTAAACAAACAATTAGTAGGAGTGATTCCACAATAATCTTTATGATCTAGAAGACCTCTTCCTGCAGCTTCAGAAGAACCATTCAAAGTTGCCATAACAAGGAGAACTAACATAAGAAAAGTGATGGTCTTTTTTATTGTAAACATGATATGAGTTTCTCTTAACTTGCTTTGTGTGCATTAAGGTAGCTCCAGTTATTCCAATTTATAGAACCACCTAGAAGAGTGAAGGGAAACTCAATTAAATTAGCATTTGTGTTATGACTAGGTTTTCAGAAAATTAAGGTAATTTATTTTACGGTTTTAAATTCCTAGTTGAACCAAAGGACATATTTTTTATTTATAACTAGATTAATTAGAATGATATGAAATTAAGAAGAGGAATGTGAATAAGTTGTATATCATAATGTCTTGTTTATAACTAAACAGTTGCACATATATCCTATTTAATTTGTATTTTGAACCCTTGAAAAAATTATTTTGCACCCGATTCAAATTAATTCCATTTCATTCATTTTCTCTCTAAGCCTATTTATATCGTTAACACAGACTCTGTCATTTCTTCTCTCACATGCTCTATCCTTCTTTTTTTCTAGACTTTCTTCCGCCCAAAGTCTAAGTTGTCCTCTGCCCTACGTTGCATTCCCCCAGCTTCTTATACCTAATCAACCCTTCAATATCATTCAAATAAATATTAAGGTAATCAATCTTAAAATTTAATTGTAAAGGTTTTGATGCCCTGTTTTGGTCGATTAAGCACTTGCATCAGTTTGTTGTGCATAAAATGTGGAATTAGATGTTGTAGATCTTAAATTATAATTTATCTTTTTATTCTTTTATTTTTTAAGGAGAGATTTTAATTTTGATAGTACTTTTGGGTGTAACATGAACTTTATTTTTAAACTTCGTGTCTTCTTTTGTATGTTCACATGTTTTGTCCCTATTTTCTTAGCACCATGTCTTTTGATAATTTGTTCCAAGAGTTGTGATTTTATTTTACTTGTTTCTTTCCAGAACTTCATGTATCAACGCAAAAAATATCGCAAGGGTTCACACATTAGAAAAAGTTGTTATCAAAATTTATTTATTTCAAATATATATATATATATATTAATAAAATTCTTTTAAAAAAAAGAAATGGGTTGCAACAAAATTTGAGTTTGAGAGTCGATTATGCAAGAGAAAAGTATTATCACTCTTCACATTTGTTCTACTCAATAGAAATTATTTAGTTAGTTTTGCGAATAAAGTGTTAGCTTTTGTTTGTTTGTTAAAAGTTTAAAAAGAAAATGACTATAAATAAGTTTTTATTAGAGTGTTTGAGAAGATTGTGAATCTTGTTCCTATGTATTCTCAGATATGATGAAAAATTCAAAGTTATATAGTTCTTGCTAAGACAAATGTATTTTTGATTTTTTTGTTATATGTATGAAAAGTACTATTGTAAACAACAATAAAAACTTTTTAAATTCATTAAATAAATTATGACAAAATATTTCATTGGGATAAACAAAGTTCCAAGTTATTCATTTACATAAAAGAGACTCTGGCTCAAAGCTTACGAAGTATGGAAAACATTTCTCTCAAATAATATAAAATGTGTTTTGTCTAAGAATCATGGTTTTGTTCCTAACCTCTCACACTTGATCATATTGGGTTTTGTGTTGAAATTCAAGAATGGAGATATTGAATCTTTAATGGAGTCCAGGAATTTACATATTTCCAGTGAGATGAAAAGTTCCTCTGTCTTTTTTTAAATGACTAAGAGTGTAATTGGATGAGTAATTGAAAATTGTTAAGAAATTCAAAATTTTAAGTAATTTAAATGATTCAATTAAAATGTATTTATTTTAAAATTCTTTTGTTTGTATGAAGTATTAAAATGATGTATTGTTAAATTTTTTGAATCATTTTCATAATTTTACAACTTTTGAACCAAATTTAAAATATGAAAAATAGGGACTAATTTGTAATTTTTGAAAATTTAAAGGGATTAGTTTGTAAAATTTGAAAAGTTTTAGGAACTTATTTGTAATTTTTAGGAAATTTTAGGGATGAATTTGAGATTTTTATAAAATATGAGGATCATTTTACAAAATTTGAAAAATTAATAATAAACAATTTAACAATTGCATGATATATAATGAAAGAGTAATTTCAAATTCCTTATTTTTTAGTGTCATTTGAAATTCCTTAAATTTAACTTTAATAAAATATTTTATAAATTTATATTATTTTAATAATTTTTTATATTTTTTTATCTAAACAATAAATAATGGTCAAACCATTTTAAATTTCCTCAAAAAATCATTTTTATTTATTAAAATGTTTTATCCAAACACACTCCAAGAATTCTGCATATATTTTACTTGTTGTTTATATAAAATCCACTAAATACTCCAGCTTTGAATCATGTTGCCAATTACTTTTGATTTTATGCTTAAAACTCGTAAAATAACTAGTGCATCCAATTGAGTCTTAGTATTATTCTCTCAATAATTATTCCATCTTTTAAAGTTATTTGTCTTAAAATAAATGTCGTCTTTTAATTTCAAATGCAATTTTAATATTTTTCTTCTAATTATATTTTTTTAATTAATCTTTTTAATTTATTATTCTATCACTATGTATTTGTGATAATTCGAATACATCAATAATAAACAACAATAATTTGATAAAAACATTATTTTCTCTTTTTTATTTATTATATTTCTTTAATTTGTGTGAAATGATTAATTATGACAATTATAAGACGGAAAGAGTATTCAATTTGATTAAGTGATTTAATATTTAAAATAGTTTTAAAATTAAGTGATTTTTTTTTAAAATTTTGATATTCAATATTTTTTTAATAAAATAATAAAATATTTAAAATAACATTTTAAAAACAACTATTCAAACTAAATCTTTGTTTGAAACTTTTATGAAAAGTTTATTTGTAAATTTTTTTTCACAAAATTATATTACGCTATAAAATTATTTTTAAAAAGCTAAAATAAACGGACCCAAAATAAAAATTCTAAATCTGTTTTTATCATATAATCATCATACTCATTTCATTACAAATAAGTATAACCCATGATCATTTAAAATATTTTTTAATAGCAAATAATCATATTATGAAGACTGAAAATCAGGTTACAATAGATAGATCAAAGCACAAGAAGTGTCCTGACCTTGAAAGGAAAAAAAATATATAAGAAGCAATCATAAAAGAAGTGAAAGCAAAAAAAAATACACAAGAAACAACCATAAAAGAGAAGCCATAAGAAGATGAGATCGGTCAGAATCAAACCAAAACTATAAAAACACCATCTCGTTACACTTAGATTAGAGCTTTAACCAACTAGATCCACCACCACATTCTGAGGTAGGGTGAACACTCAATAGGTAGAAGATAGGATTCTAAAGCTATTACATGAAAGTTAGGAAATTAACTCATAGGAGTTAAGGAATATAGAAAGTTGGGTAAATGAGCATCCACATCTATAAATTATTATTCATAACATCATTTTCAATTTAGTCATTTAATCGATTTATCTATGAATTAATTACGAATTGTTGTATTTTATTGGATTATAATATGTGGGGTGCAGAGGTTAGTTGGAATAAGTTATAATTATATTTATGATTATCTTGGTAATTAAATAATAGGAGTTTATTTAATCATTTAATTAATTGGGTAAATAATGTTGAAATAATAAAATAATGAGAAAAAGTGGAGTGTGTAGAGATTGTTTGGGCAAAATGGTAATTACAAGGTTAAGTTGAGGTTAATATAGGAAAAACATAATTAGGAGGAATAGGGTTATTAGAAATAGGAGAGAAATGGAGAAAAAGTCAGTTTGCAATTTTACGTGAAAATTTTGAAAAAGAGAGAAAAGAAAGGTTAGGGCAAGAGGAAGGAGAAAATGTGTTTAGGAGAAAAAGTTTAAGGATTCTTTCATCTTTGTTGAAAATTCTTAAATCTAA